TATACTTCATAACAGTAATAAAATATCATCACTAGGTAAAGGTACATAAAATAATATTCCATTTTCTTAAGAATAGGGTGTGGGTACCCCTTTTATTGCTTATATTTAAGGTTCTGCTTAGAATAAGGTACAAGCACCTTTAGCTTAGATACGGGGTACCTCTTATTCGAGTATGCTTACATGTAAGCGTTTAGTAACTGTACCTATCTAAATAGGTGATGGTACTTGTGAACCAGCACAAAACTCCATTAACGGCTATTTCCAAGGCCGGTTCATGTTCAAATATGATTTCCTTCATTTCATTCATTTAAAATGTGTGCTAGGTTCTTAAACTTTTAAATTCATAAAGCAAAAAGGGAATTGGAGATTCTAACCTCTCAACTTCCTTATTTGTCTTCTTTCCTATTCTTTAATTTTCTAGAAAAGGTTTGTCTGCTGAATAATGATTCATATAGGAGTCTTATTCTATTAGTTATTAAAGAGCAGGTAAAGAGCAGGCTTTGAATGGAAGAAATGACCGTCCACCTTCCATCAGAGGAAAATTGTGACAATATTTCCTTCCGTGAGAGTTTACTTCTTCACCTGCAGACAATTGTGGGGGCAAGCTGTTTGATGGATTGGAGAGTCTAATATTACGGCCGCTGCTCATGGGGCAGAAGGAGCTTGTCGTTGGTTCAGAATCATTCTCTCCGAATTCTAATTTGAAATTCAACTTGGGATTTGAAGGATTTACTACCACTGCTTGTATGGATGCATTCTCAGATGTCAAAGCCCTTAAATAGCAGCCATCTCCTATATGGTACAAGCAATGGAAATTTTCCTACACTAACAACGACTTGGAGAATCACCTATTGGAAACTTTACAGGGGCTTCCTCCTGCTACTTTTTGCATTGACATCGCTATCTTCATGGCTCTTGCTAGGGATTTCCGTTCCAACATCCAAAGCTTCAACCTCAATAGGATATCTCATCTTGACTCATTTTCTTCAAACAATTTTTCGGTGGCTTTCCCTAAAAATTGGCTGAATCATGGTTTCTTTGCTCTAGATTCCTATAGATGACGCCAATTTGTTAACCTCAAAAGCGAAATTAACAAATTTCTTTCACCTAGCAATAATTCTCTCTCTAAACTCAATTAAATTTACTAATATAAGAGTAAGAGGGAATTCACTATTTGAAAAGAGTGTATATCCCCTTTTTTCTATCTCCTTTCTACATGAATTCAAGACTTATTTATTGATATATGATGAAGTCAAGAGGTAATTTAGTCATTTTCTCTTTAGCAACACGTGGTAGTCATTAATTAGTGAGTCTCTAACTAAATCTATTACCTTTTCACGTTTTATTCACTAGGCTACGTATTCTTCACTCATAGGGTGTGATGTCATTTTCAAAAAGATTTAGCATTCTTATTCATGTGTCCTTCAATATCGATTTTATTAACGTGGAAAAGTCCTTGAAAACAAATGGGAGTATTTTTGCTCGTTCAATTTGTGCTCACACGTCTCGTGCGCTCGTTCATAATTAAGATCAAGCTTATGGTTTCAACTTAAAAATGATCACTGACAAGGGCAGTGGTTCGCAAATAATCTGATAACTTTGATTGATTTAGAAATGGCTGTTGAAAATGGCATTGGTTCGCACATAATCCGATAACTAACGGACTCAGAAATGCTCGCTGACACTTGCATTGATTCGCCACACAAAATAAAGAGGAAAGTTGTAAATGTAATCTAAAAAGGAAGTTAGTAATCTCACTTTGAGGTAAGAATCTATTATTCCAGCAATCTTTATATATTTCAGAGTTTTTAGAACACATTTTAAATGAAGAAAATGTATACTTGGTTTAATGCTTTGGCTACTACGGGTTGCCCAATTTTTTGTCATTTCTTTTTTTGTCTAAATTGATAATACACTTCCTGTGCATTATCCTTGATTAAAAATATTTAATTACATATCAAAAAAACAAATGAAGAAAATCATGTGTGCGAACGTACATTCAAACCTCAGTACCGAAGTACAAAAACAAAATCATACATACACACCATGCTAGTATAGTGGGTACCCGTACCTATCTTTAAAATTTAGACCATATAATAAAATCCGGTAAATTAGTATAATATATAAAGATACCTATACTAATTATTGCAGTCATGAAGTTGATTCGCATAAAAATATTGGATTGAATTAGTTAAATAGGCTCAATCAGAACTTGAGAGGGGTAAATTGAATAAAATATAAGAATTCGACCAAACACTACATTAGATTTGTGAATCTTGAATTCAGACTTAAAGGTGATCAGATGAAATTGTTATGCCCTAATATCCGTTCATTATTTAAATTTTAAAATCTTTGAATGCGTCCACATTATTTTAAGTATTTAGATTAAAAATCACAATATATAATTCTTTGTTTGCCTTCATCAAATAGTGGTTAGAAAACTTTGTTATTAAATATTATTTTATTACCTTTGTTTGACTTGTGAAAGTGGGTAGCCACGTGGTGATTGTTGAGACTGTATTATAATGGGTTGTTTTATTTGAATTGGATAGAAGTCTTGGGTAAATTAAACTTCCACTTGTTATAGGACACTTGTCCAATGTTTATTCATTTATGCAACGGATTTTCACATTGAAAAAGTTAGATTTTTTTCACATTACTATATAACTTTTATAAACACAGCAGCAAGCTAAAAATAAAGTTGGAACGTGATTTTGATTTCATCACTCGAAAAATTTATTTGATCTAATGAGGTAAGATAACGAGTTGCAGTTGTTTTTATCCTATTTAAATTATTTTTTTCGTGTTATTGAATTATTATACTTATGAAAGTTAAAGATATGATATAATATATATAATATGGCCATCTGGTGCCCAAGATATGATATGTATTGAGCTCTTATCGATCCTTAAAGATATGATGACAGTATGATATTTTTTACGCATGATTTAAATATTTTATTCAGGATCCACCATTATTCGTATCTTACTGAGTATTTTCATGTACTCACACTTTTCCTCTACTCCTCACAGGATAAAACGGGTTGTTGGTTGGCAGGCAATGAGTGCAATCCTGGTGTCAGGATTTGTCGAACTCAATAAATTTAAATTCGTTGCAATGTGACTGTGGATTTTATTTTCAACATTTTTTTTAATTTTATTATTATGTGGATTTGTAATTTAGGATTTGGAACACGGTTTCATTGGTTAGTTTCCTATATGTTTTATTTACTATTGGTTGAACCAAAATTTCATGTAGTAGTGTTAGATTTATTTATTTAATTACACAATGAAACTTTTAGTAACAGTTTAAATCTTAAAATTTGGGTTGTTACAACTTAGATTAAGTGTTAAAGTATAGTCCTCAGAACAATAATCTGGACTCAAAGGTGTATTATATTAATTGTTTGATATCGTACACTTACAATAGAAAAAACTCAACGAAGACGAAACATTAAATACATGTTATTATGCATTACTTGGTGTGTTGCCACAAATGTACCAATCTACAAAACTGTGAATGTAGCTAGGATTTTAACTTTCATGTTTATGTATACAAATTATGTCATTTTACATGTCAAGTTACATTATGTGATTTATAGCTTTGAAAGCTATACCACTTATCAGTGTGTTATTAAATGGCATGATCGTTAGGATTGTATTTATGATTAAAGTGTGAAACATCACATATCATGCCATGCATGAATTTAATGTGATAAATCGTCAAATATCGTTCACATATTGATTTTACTATAAAAGTATAGGAATAACATCACGAACATGCATATATACGGGTCATGAGTTGTACACTAACGTGGGTCAACGGACATCACAAGAGGACACCTAATGGATCACCTGGTGGTCTGATGATTGGATATAGGTTTGACCCTTTGTGAATTGTCTGGTGTTGTGATATCTTGATGGTGACTGGCTAGCATGTGATTAGTATTATGAGATAGATATGGCACGTGGCTTAAGCATTATGTCAACCAGAAATGTGTCACCATGGAATAGAAAGAATTGCCATAATTAGTGATGCTCAGTTACTCTTATAGTTATTATATGAGCTCATTGTGTACAATTATGGACTCCATAAGAGGCCAACAGACAAGAAAAGAACACATGCAATGCATACATCTTACATACACGTACATCATATTTTATTCACTATGTATGTCATATTCATCCTCATCATTAATCCACTTGTCAGATCATCTAAGAAGATAGTTGGGCTTATACGCACGATGGCCAAGAACTTCAATGGGCAATGGTGGTAGAGAAGAAAGAATGGGAGCCACTTTTGTTTATCTGGAGATGAGTAATAAATAATTAAAGAAAGGAAGTTATCTTGTGTTTTTGGTTCGGCAACCATGTATAACTAATAACCCTTTCCTCTCATTTTTAATTTATTTTTGACGTGGGTATAATTAAATAAAAGTGTCATAGACAAACTCTATTTTGTATGAAATAACAGTTACGCATATGCCTACTGTAATTTGACCTAAACCTCCGCAATTACTTGTATAAAACAAGGGCAAAATGGTAATTCCACCTGTACAAGTGCCAGGGAGACACTTGTCTCCCTGACATTGGCCAGGACAGAAAACTGTTTTCTGTCCTCGCCATGAACAGGCGGAAATCCCCTGTACATGTAGTACAGTTCAGTGCAAAATCAGTCTTACACTTAGAATACTATTCTGCTTGTAAATTGGTAAAGGTACCATATCCATGGTACACCTATCTATCCCAAAAAGGTGGTGGTACCCAATCAATGGTACCTGTACCTTCTACATAGGTACATGACTTGCAAAAGTAGTTTCATAATATATTCAGTTGGGTAATGGTACCATTACTAAATGTCATCCGCTTACTGCACATATCAATGAAATTTGATTGCTGAAAACATGGAAAAGCAGTATAGAAAATCCAGTGAAACTTATAGTGCCAGAACTTCTTCCTATACAAGGAGCATAAGCATAGCAATATCATAGCATACTGACCTTTCCAGGTTTTACCACATTTACATCCTCCAGAGAACATATTGCAGACTGCAACCAGCATAAATTTGAGTATCAATTGAAATTCAAGAAACTTTAAAACATTATACATTCTACCATAAGAAATAAACAAACTGTGCTTCCAACAACTTTGCAGTTAGTTTAACTAGGACTTTCCTTCCTTCCTATCTTAAAAATGAAAAGGCAAACAATCAGATCTTAAAAATAAATTTTGTCCTATTCTGGTGGCTAATGTAACATAGGAAAACCATTTTGGACTTGGGAGGTTCTATTCACGTGAGCGCCACAACATTGCAAAAGTATTTAGAAGGCTCTAAACAAGATATTTCATATTACTAAGTAGTTTCTCTCTTCTCATATTTGACTATATACCTGAAACACGTGCAAAAGGTTATAAGAATTACAGTGCATTTCTGAATGAACATTTCTTTTATTAATTACACAGACCCATTGACCAAGAGCGAAACTGAAGATGAGTAAATACCTGAACAGGAAAATCCATTTGTGGCTTCCTCGTAGACCAGTTGATATTATCCCAATTAACTGAAGGTGGAAACATTTTATAATCCCTTTGCATAAAGAATCCCTATACGGCAGCAATATAAACTTCATAAAGCGTGGCAAAGAAGATGCAATCATTCTTCAGAGTATTATGGAAAAATATCAACCTGGCATTCTTCTGCAAGGATGTTAATGGAATCAAGCCATTTGACAGAGCGAGCACCAATGACACCTGGGACAATCACCCTTAACGGGTATCCATGATCCCTGTTAAGAGGCTTTGCATCATAGCAAATCCAAAACACACAGATTAGATAGAAAAAGAAAGAAAACCGAAAGGAAGATGGTGCTAAACTCTATCAAAGTAGAAACTTTAGAGCAGAGAAAATTCATGACAACAGAATACAGATACAAGTTTGACGAACATGTTAAAAAAAGGACTTTAGGCTACCAATCAGATGATCAAGTACAATACAAACCATAAAAGACTTGCAAGCAAAGAGAGAACCTTAGTGACTCCAGTTAGATCAGTAAGAATTTGATCAAATTAGGATGGACATTCAACTTGCTTGATGTATCATGTATTTTCTTTTGATAAAATTCAATCTATCTAAAGAAAACATAAGGGGCATGCAGATACTTATGGCCGATGTGCATGCATGGATGGAGAGCGAGGTAGAGTGCTGAAAGTAAGAGAGTGTGTAACTCCACAATAATATAATAATACAAAAGGAAAATAAAATCATGCAGATACTAAGATCGATCTTTCCTTTAAATTGATTTAGTAAAAAGTGAAGAAGAAATTAGGCAACTGTGTGTGTACCACCAAATTTATAAAGTCTTACATCTACGTCCGAATGTGATGAGTTCTTTATGCCCTATATCCTCCATACTACAATCAGCCCTGATTCTTCATAGCATAGAATATAATTATATTAAGAGAAAAATCTACCAAAAAATTTTGATATATCATATAAGATTAGGAAGAATATTCTTGCAGGTAAAGTCATGCTATGGAAGGGGTGGTTTGGAGTTGATTGAGAGAGCAGCGCGATTAATAACTATAAACTAAACATGTTTGTCACATATATTACCTCTCCATTCATCTCATAAGCAAGTAAAACATCAGCCTCGGGGTTCGTGGCCTGACTCATTGGAATTGACGCTTTATAAGGGCCTCCATTTTCCTCCTGTAATTAAAATGACGTCACTATACCAAGAAAAATTTTCACATCGAGCAGTGACCGAAAAGTGATATGACCAGGAGTGGAATAGGCAATTTACCTTACACTTGTCAATGCTTACAAATTCTACATGTTTTCCTCCAGATGGTGTTATCTGTGAGGACTTGGGAATTCCTATCAGTTCAAGAACATCTGCTAATTTAGCTCCACCCCAAACAGCTGAAATGAAAATGCAGGAAGATGTGAAATTAAGGGACAGATGACCGATAAAATATAATATGAAAGCTTTTAAAAGATCGTTGTTGAGACAAAGGATAAGCTCATGTTGAATCAGTTTATCTCAACAACTTTAAAAGCCTTCCGAACCCATTAAGGGCCATAGCATCTGTCAGCCCACATAGTAAGGAATACAATTATTTACTTTGACAGTTATTGCAATCCAATTTCATCAAGGAAATAAATTTTTTTGAGAAACGAAGGATATAAAAATTTCAGAGCTATAATGCTTGATATATAGGACTGGCCAACATATAATGTTCTCTTTTATAGGCAACATTTTCCAGATAAATAGATAGTTTAATAGAAACAAAATTCATTCTTTTCAGCATGGACTAACCGTTTCCTATAGCAGAAATATCCCATCCAACTCCCTTAACCTTGCGAGTTTTGCTCATGGCAGTTCTTCTATTGCCAGCACACTGCAAGTAAAAAGGTAAAGTGCTAATCAAGCCAATCTTAGCAAAATAGAGAAGCAGCTTAGAGAAATATAGCATACCCATTCACAAATAGGCAGGTGTAAGTTATTTGGCATAACCAAAATCCCTAACCTCAGCGGAGACACATTGTACAATACCATGAGCAACTGTGCTGGCTTGCAGCCAATACATTAGATCTCACAAATTATATAGCTATGTAGCTTCTATTTCTACTCATCTGCTCATGAATCCAGTAAAATCTTAGTATAAACCATGATAAGATGCTTCACACTTATTGTTTTCTAAGTTCTACTTATATATTAGTAATTATTGAAAATCTTCATGTAATCGGCTGTTCTTATGCTTTTATTTGAATTTGTAATTAATCTTATTTATATTGCTAGCAATAGAGCATGAATCCTAAACTATGTGATTTAACACGTGTATAATTTTTTATCTAATGAATATTGTCGACAAAATGATCACAACTTATATAATCACCCAACAATCAAACTAAGCTTTATTCCCAATTCTAATATAAAGTACAGCTCAAAAGTTATCTTGATATAAAAAATAGTCAATTCCCAACAGATTTCTCCAGCGAAATTCATAAATAGTTAAAAAGGCGTATTAATTATATAGAAAAATAAAAGAGTATACAAGTCGAGAGACACTATATGAATGTGTATTTTTAGAAGTATCTTAAAAGAGATGCTTATCACTTTCTCCTTTCAAAATTACACAGTGTATCATGTTGTGTCCAACCTTCATTTCAGTTTTGATACTCCTTATATGCTGTTTAACCATCTACTTGTGGTATTAATTTCACACGTAATGCAACCTTCCAATAATTGCACCAATATGTTTCCAGGCCACCAAAAAGAAACTCAAATAATCCTTCCCTTGATCCATACCCCTTACCATCTTAACTCTGACACAACATATAAGCAGATTAAAAAAACCTGTATAAACGTTTAATAATTCATAAAGAACAAATATACCTGTAAAGTGGCAGTGACTGTATATTTTGGCAGCTTCCTGTTAATAACAAACAATATAAGTCCTACATTCAGACAATCTTGGAAGATGATAAATATTGACATGGTAAGGCTTAACGTTAATAGTCTATCACTCACCAAATATCTTTCATGTACAGCTCTTTTGGATTCTCTATTAGACCAGCTATGGAAAAACTATATCTGCTCAACCAAATAGATTTTGTTAGTGATATGAATTCATACATTTCAACAAGATGAAATTTAGAAAAGATGTGTACTTGAAAAAAGGAAGATGGTGGACCTATCTATGTTATCAACTATCGGAATTGGCCCATGATTCCTCTTATAGAAGAAATCCGTTGGTGTAACATAAGATGAAATCAAAGCTGAACGATGTGGCTCAGCATTGAAGGGCTCCTGGACCAAAAGGGCACCAATCAACATTTCTTGCATAATTGAGCGTCAAAACCGAATAATTGATATCGAATGGAAATTTCATTTCAAACGTGACATTCTGTCGTCTAACGTATTGAATAACAATGCCTTCTTCTGTATTAAATCATAACTATTTAAGAATGAGAATTTCGGGCATATAATTTTTATGTTCTTGCCTATTGAAGTTGGACTTGGGCCAATTATCAATAGGACAAAATGTTTAAAAACATAATCAACATGTAAAACAATAAGATTCGAGAAACTCCAATTCTCTGTTTTCAACGGTTTAAGAATTGGAAATTTTCTAGAAATTAACGCAAAATCCGCCTTGAAGCTTCAAATTCGTCACTATAGTACAGCATTAAACCAACCACTGATTTTTCAACAAACAAAATACGTGATCATTAAAAGAAAATTCCTGTGTGTTTGCACAATCAACGATGCATCTAGGAATGCATGAAGAGAGAGAGAGAGAGAGAGAGACGAATCCTGATTCCGAACCTTGGAATTAATCAGAAGGGCAGGGTGGCGAGGGGGCTCTTGCGAATAATTGGAAGGTGCAGTTATTCCAGGCATTTTCAGTTCCTCCGTTCGTTTGCCGCTTATGCGGCTTCTGCGTAGAATTTGGATAGAGACAGCGGAGGCAAAAGGCGGAGAGCGAGAGCGAGATGGAAAGAGAGGCGGAGAGAGCGAGACACGAGGTGAGGCGGAGCTTTTTCAGTGAGACGTTAAAAATGAAAACTTTTGGCGTTTTATCGGGAATAGGCAGGTGGGTCAGTATGAAAAGTGGGTTATGCTTACGAAATGGTGTTCACCTTAGGGTGGATCCACTAAGAACATCGCATTGTATATAAATAGCATATTTCAACTTAATATCAGGATCCCGTATGAAATGTTAAAGCAATTTGACGTATTAGTTTCAGTTAAGTGCTTGTTTGATACTCATTTTTTTGGAAAATGCATTTTAAAACAGTGTTTTGATGGAAAATGTATAGTTAAAAAATCAAGAAAAGTTTTGAATTTACACGTAATATTATTTTATTGAACAATTCGTGATCAAAAAAGAGAAAGAGTGTGTGAGAAAATATATTTTAAAAAAGGATCATACTAGATGTACACACAAATTTGTACAAAAAGTTTTACTTACACTCACAATGGGGGTAGGGACCACAAGCCAACATTTTTTAAATTCATGTAGGGTCCACTTCTTCTGTGAGAGGGAGTAATCCATTTCGTAACAATGTGTTTGTACATATATATTTATCCTTTAAAAAATGGGAATCAAAGAAGGCCTAAACATGTCAACACTTAATCATGTTGCGGCTACAAAAATTTTAAATAAATTGCGTTCAAAATTTTATCCCGATTTTGCCCTTATTTTCTAACACTAATTTCATTTTATTATCAAACTCAATGTCAATAACAAGTTTCATCATTTTTTATCAAAATCTATTAGAACTTGATTTTTTAGTAGACTAAACAAGCGCTTAATAATATAGCATACTCATGATCATTTGTCCTCAATTTTAAGCCTTGTTTGGTATGGAATAAATCAAAATCAACAATTAATTTTAATCACAAATAATATAAATCATACAACTTTTCAAATACACATTTGAACAACTTTTATTAAAATATGTTAAATATCTAGTTTTAATCGCCACCAAACATGGGCTCAAATTTTGAAATTACAATATAACTAAATAGGATGCTCATGTAGAAACGGGAGCCAACAGGACATTAGGTTTAGTAACAGAAAGCTTCCTAATTGAGTGAATAACACTGAACTAAATTAATGTTTAGTGATCTAATTGCAAAACATTAAAATTAGGAGATATAAGTGAAAGTTCGGAGTTTGTTCCAAAACAAATGCTAAGCCCTTGTTTGACATCCTTTAAATTTTTAATACATTTTCACTCTTTTTTTAACCACATATTCTTCATTAAAATAAGGAAAAATTGCAGCAGGGATCCCAAACCTTTGAATTTTTTGCAGACTTTACCTTAACTTTCAGTTTATGCCATCAGAGGTTCCAAACCTTCTAAAAATTAGCACCCGAAGTCCAAAATGATGGAAACCGTGAGTTCCACCGTTATTTGACCTGAAAAATAAAAGAATTGGATACTCTGACTAAATTAAATATGGGCAACTTCGTCATTCATATATTAATATTTAAAATGATTAAATTAAAACAAAAAACCACCACACGCCCACTCTACCTTACCTGTTCCCAAATCATTCATCTTCTTCAACACAGCTAACTCCCACACCCCCACCCGAAAAATCAAGAAGATGAAAATAAATAAAAATCAAGATTAGCTTAGCCCTTGTTTGAGCCCCATTCTTGACAAAAAAATAAATAAATAAATAAAATGTATTTTTAAATAGTGTATTGATGGAAAATGTGTGGTTAACAAATAAAAAAAAACGTTTTGAATTTGCCTGTAATATTATTTTAATGAAAAATTTGTGATTGAAATGTGATCAAACCACTGTTAAGGAATGTATTTTGACGAAAATAATGAGGCTCAAACAATGGCTTAATTTGATTCATTTCTCATCCTAAATTAATTGTAACAAGGTATTTTAAACATCTTATTGATATGTTGTTTTAGCATCGATGCTCTGGATTTTCGCATTTTTCAACTACAGAGGCAGAGATGGTCGATTAGCTTCCTGTCTAGCTCCAAAAAGTCTTTTTAATGGCTACAAGTTTCGTCCATTCCTTATCGTAATTGTTAGAACATTATGGACAAAATGATGTTCTTTGAGCAAGATCCAAGCTCTCAGATACTCGCCTTGTTGAAGTGGGAGTTGGAGTTGGAGTTGGAATATTCTTCAATAGATTCAAATTTTCCACTGGATTGCTCATAAGTCTCTCCGTTCCAACCCTAAAAACACAAAATTCACAACTAAGAAATTACTATAACAACCTGATCTTAACCATTCTCACCCAAGAAACTAGAAGTCACAAAAATGATAAATATGGAGAAAATCTAGATTCCTTTCGTATACATGTACTTCAACTGCCAAATCAAGAATAAGAAATACCATTTTTTCCGATCTACTGTGCAAAGAATCATTCCTGGAAGAGATTGTATCATGGGTTTTGTTCTAGAACTTCTTGATTTTTGGGTTGAGGGTGTGGGAGGTATGTGAGCTGAAGAGATGAATGATTTGGGGGTAGGGTAGATTGGGGTGGGATGGTTATTTTTATATTTTAATTTCATTATTTTAAATATTAACATGTGATTGATAAAATTGTCCCTATTTAAATTGGTCAAAGTATTCAATTATTTTATTTTTCAGGTCAACTAACGGTGGTACTTATGGTTTCCGTCATTTTGGACTCCAAGTGCTAATTTTTAGAAGGTTTGGAACCTTTAGTGGCACAAATTGAAGTTAAGGTGCAAAAAGTTTAAAGGTTTGGGACCGCTGCTGCAGTTTTTCCTAAAAATAATATTACACGTAAATTAAAAAATTCCGTACAATGGCTAAATTACAGGCCTTTGACGTGCAAGGTATGTCACAACCAGGAAATTAAGCACTGAACGAGTCCCACTTTCACCCCTGTTGTGAGGAATAGTTTGTGCGATTTTTATTTCGGATAATTGTAGCAAAATCTTCAAACCTTTGAAACACTGACGAGCTTTTTCCATACTTTTAATTTGTTGTAGCCGTCAGTCCTAATTTCTCCAAGCGTTATAGGTAAAACCCTTTTGGGCAGTTTCCATCTACAATTCCGTCAGTTAACCAAAAATTTGACTTTGACCACATTTTTGATATTTTAAAAGGGGGCAAAGAGTAACTTTTCATTTTATCATATTAAATAATTAAATTAAAGAATAAACAATAAAAAGAACACACTAGAAGTGCACACACTTCAAAAAGATATATATGCTTCCTACATACATGGATTCGGATCTTAGAGTAAATTTTTTTGTCTCTAGCTGAAGATCCGATTTCAACATTTTAAATATTTTACTAAGCCCCCGTTTGGCCCCCATTAATTTTCATTTCATTACATTTCATTTTTATCTCTCATATTTTCAACCACACAATCTTTCATAAAATAATATTACACATAAATCGAAAATTTTTCCTTCTTTTTCAACCGCTTATTTTTCAAACAAATACTATTCCACCGATTTTCATTTCCACAAAATTGGGGCCAAACAGGGGCTTAGTTTTGCTTGTTTGTGTGTGTACACGCACTTTTTTAGATTTACAGAAATCATCGACTAACACGAGTAGTCTGGGTATAAGGTAAAATTGTAGTATTCAGAAAATTGTTTAGTTCTAATCTCCTTGTTTTTGTACAATGTAATGAAAAAAGTGAGAGAAAATTTTGCTTTTCAAAATTCCCTGGTTGAATTTGATTAATCTTTTGCTTCAGTGAATACGCATTTTGTTGATATCAGCAATTTGGAGCACTACGCCAAATATCTAAACCAAACCCTAGTCACATTTGATTTCCCTGCTCCTCTCAGTCTATTACCAATGATCCAGTGAGTGTTTTTAAGCTTTATTTCTTTTAGGGTTGGGTAGTAGAGGTTGTTAGGTGGCGATTGTGATGGGGCGGATGGTGATAGTAAAGGTGGAGGTGACGGTTGTTAGGTAGAGTGTGGGTTTGAGGTAGGGATGTTTGTAGAAAATTTGCAAGCGTACGGGATTGTTGTACAAGAAATACGATTTGTGAGTTAAGAGTATCATTTCCACAAGGAATAAAGTCTAATATCTAGTTCAGTAGCTTTTTACTAAATTCGAAGTAATATAGAATCGAAAGAATTGTTTTTTTTTTTATGTGTTCTATACTAATCCTACATTAAAAAAGAAAATAAAATATTTATCTAATATATGAATGTTTGTATTGGAATCGTGAATCCTCCTATTGTCATTTAATACAACTCTTAATTCATAATTTTGTAGATACATGCATTCAAGACAATCGATAATCGACTTTTATTCAATATTCTTTCCCAAGAAAAATTAAACATATGTTAACACGATTCGATCTTATCCCTAATTCGAATTCATATGAGAAACATGCATTGATTCGATCTTATCCCTAATTGCACATGCCATATATATTATTCCTAATACTTATTGTGCATGTGTTGATTTTGCTGTGTTCTAGACTTATTAGGAGTATTCCTACACTATAACAAGCAACTTAATATCTAATTGGTGATTAGGCAATCAAACAGTTCAATGGAAATGCAAAACCAATCAAGAAAAATTCTGAAATACTAAATTAATTGTCTTGAATTGATATAAACAAACAATAGGGTTCATCATTCATCCAATACAGTGAAAAACTTAGCTAACCATCGTAATTATTAAATTATGCAAGAAATCATAAAAATACATCACCCGAATCGAAGACATATGGAATAAGGTAGAGGAATCCACTTTCTTGAATGAAATCTTAATTTTGGATGGATAATTTTTAAGAATCTTGCACAATTATCTTGATGTTGATGATCTAGCCTCATTCTTTGCCTTCAAAATATGTTGAATATAGAGATTTTTAGGTCTAAGGGGGGTCTTCCATATTTTGGTCAGCTCTTGGTATAAATAGGGTGTCAAAAGTTTGCATACCAAAAGTTTCTAGAACAAAATAAGGAAAAAAGATTTTTTTTCCCAAAATTGAACCATGCAAACGACATGGGGGTGAAAAAAGGGAAGGGTACCTACACCCGAAATCGACACAAGTGGGTAGGAAGAGAATACCTAGGGATGCGAG